GACACCAGGTAGGCACAATACAACTACAGGTGTGCACTTTATGATCCAAAAAGTGAGAAAAACAGATCTACATGGCCAGCTGGCTTTTCTAAGTTCTGGGGGACAATCCTGGGATGAGAGCTATCCACTGAGTATCTTCTAACCTATGCTCTGAGACCCATTTTCCATTCACTGACCCTTGTTGCCATATCTTATCTTCCAGATTCAGGATGAAATCTTAACACAGGGTAGAGTTTGCCCCCTAAGCCCAATACCTCCTGAGCCAAAGCAAAGGGATCCACAGGCAGGCAGAATCTCTACAAGCCTGCACAAATCCACTCACCCATTTCTAACTGGAATGTGAGTGAAGCCTGGTGGCAGGTCTCTGAGGGGCCACCACAATGCAGTCGGGACCCCGTTCCCCACACAGGAAGTCAATGAGTGGGTGTGGTCTCCTACTACGGCTTCTGGAGAGCCAGGAGACCAGAAGGACGGGGCTTGAGTATCACCCACCCCCACATCTTGTTTGGAAAAACTGTCCTAGAGGGGTTGAGTCACTCTCCTGGCATTTGATCTTTCCCTGCTCTGCCCTAGTCTACCCCCAGCTCTGCTATTCTCTTCTCTGAGGACAACCAGTGTTTGCTACTTCTTGCCACTCTCTGGATTAATTATGTTAAATGCAGTGAGATTAGTGTGTCTATCTGTTCTTCTGGGAGAACTAGTCTTCCTCAGTGATGTTCTCTTCAAGTCCAGTCACATTCCATGATATCCAATTGGCCATGGAAAATTTACATATGTCCCTCAAGCCAAAAAGTGTGAGTGTAGGCAGCTTCCCCACATTCTCTCCCAGCCTCACCAGACAAGAGTTCCCTTGTCTCTCTCACCCACACCTTAGCCCATCTGTGCTTTTGATGGTTTGCCAACCTGAAAGGAGAGAGATTACCAGGACCTGACTAATATGGGGTAGTGATGGTGGTGGTAGTGGGTGTTGGGGGTCAGTTGTGGGCCCTCCAAAATTGATAAGGTCCCTTGAGGTTCTACTCTTTTTTGTTAAGAGGAAACTGTCTCTTTCTTCCCCCTTGCCAGAGGAGCAGAGGAACCATACTCTGCCTGCATGCCTCCATTTAGTAGTCTTAAATGGCTCCTGATTCTCTAGGTTTGTTATCTCTTGACTTACCCTTTCTCCACACCTCTCAGCACTAATATCTCCACAAATTCAGTGGCTGCTCACCCTTCAGAAAAGAGATGAGGGTCAATCCCAAACTCCCTATAGATATGAGGTCGACAGAGGACGCTTGGACCCATCTCCAAATGTATTGAGTGATTTTTGGCATTTAGATGGGAGAGGGACTGGTCTCTCTCTATAAACACTATCAATACATAATCCCAGTCCTCTCCCTCCCTGTCCGCCTCTTTCCTTGGTTAGGGGCTGGGACGTGGAACTGGGGAGGTGATACATCTGATCCTCTGCACTGACTCCCCTCCCAGGTCAGGAGCTTCCACCACTTGCAGAGGCCTCTCTAAACTCAGTGTGTGTGTGTGTGTGCACACACGTCATTAACAGAAGTCATGAATGAGGCCCACCCATGATCTGGATCCTAGTTCTTCAGTCCTGCCTGGGCCAGAGCATGAGAAATGGGAAATGATTTTGCATTTCTTTGCAGGAACCACACATGAGATATTCCAGGTGCAACAAGCTGAGATGACACAGACTGTATCAACTGGAGAGACAATCACCTTGAGTTGCAGTGTACCAGATTCATTTCCAAAAGGACCCGTCTTATGGTTCAAGGGACATGGACCAAACCGGGAATTAATCTACAACTTCAAAGAAGGTTTCTTTCCCAGAGTAAAAGAAATTGGACACCCCACCAAACCTGGCAACACAGACTTTTCCATCCGCATCAGTGAAATCTCTCTTGCAGACGCCGGCATCTACTACTGTGTGAAGTTCAAGGAGGGGAAACCTGACACAGAGTTCCAGTCAGGTCCGGGCACCAAGGTGTTTGTGACTAGTGAGTTTGTCTCCTCCACCCCCTATTATGGGCTATCATCTCAGTTAACCAATCCTCTATTCATTGAATTACTAGATTATGCTAAATATTATTGAAGGTGCATTATACATTTGATCTGTCATTCTCTCAGCAACCTGTGAGTTAAGTGTTTTACAGGAGGAGAAACAGACTCAGAAAGGTCAATTGAATGGTGAGGGATATTTTGGTTGACATCCCAATATTGAATAACCCACACCCAATAGCTAGATTTAAACCATTTAAGGTAATTTCATGACTCCCTACTAGTGGTTAACTCAAATATGAGACTGGCTTAAGCCAATTTGTGTCCATAAGTGAAAAGGACAGACTTGCAGAGATATCTGGGAAGCTAATACAATTCTCTCTCCTTTTGGCTAGGAACAAGCAATCAGTTTGCCCCAGGTGCTCCAGAGAGACATCTTATGACCATGAGGAGAACCAAGTTGAGGAAAAATCTGCTCTAGAGAAGTGCAAAGATGTAAAGAATGTGGGTTGACAACATTGCACAGCCATATTGTTCCTGGTTCCAACCCCACTTCTGGACCTCCGATAATGGGAGAGAAAACATCTTGTTAAGCCAGTTTGCTTAAAGTCAGCACTGTCCTAAGGGATGCCAGGTGATAAAGTTCCCACATCCACAGAGCACTGAATTACAATTTCAAACCATTTTTTTCTGTTCCTAAAGCCTTACTTATTTAATTTTTCTATTTTGTTATAACCTCTGAACTCTGAGCAACATCCAGCTTGAGAAATGATTAAATTGGTGATACTACAATACTACTATTTGTTGGGCATCTACTGTACACCAAGCATCTACTTTTCCCATATTATTGTATTTACCTGCATAGCAACTTGAGTATAAGAATGATTATCCTTATTGTGTGAATGAAGAAACTGAGGATCAAGGGAATTCAGGGGTACAGATAGTAGGAGAAAAAGATAAAGTTGGTCTGGGCTCTCTCCAGCATGCTCTACATATTAGTGAAGAACCTTTCCTTACAAGGGATAAAAACGAAAAATATTAGTTTAATGTGATCCTGTAGCTGAGGAGGATTCTAAGTTCCTCACAGCATCCAATGCAGAGCTTTAGGACTAAGGACTCAGTGCCACCAAGACTCTTATTCTTTGAAATTCTTTCATCTCTATTCATCTCTGCCTGGCTTTTGCTACACATAGACCTTATCCATATAATGGAAGAGATTAAGTATAGAAAATGTTGACATTCATTACCTCATCCTAGCAGCCAAGATGGAAAGAGAGCTTCTTATTCCCAGCCTCCACAAATGAATCCCAAGGAGTCATTTGAAATCGCCTTTTCTATGCCTTTCACTTACTCATTATTATAAGGGAGAGGAAGTGCTAGGTAGGGAATCCACCAACCCAATGATATAAATGTTCAACAGACTAAAAACAACATTTATGTCCACCCCAAGGTCCAACCCTTCAATGTAACATATGAGGAAGTTGAGACCCAGAGATTGGGCTTACCTAAATTTACACAGGGAATGGATAATAGAACTCAGATCTCTTACTCCCATAATCCTTGGGTTTATGGCTTTGTCTTCTTCCTAATAAGAAGATTCTAGTTAGAGTTGGAAGTGTGGATGTACATGAAGATGATTTAGAGGAAAAATATTGTGAATAAGTTCAATCTCCATGTTAAGAGCCAAAGAGTAATAAATATATTAAATTTATACCATTTCTACATAATAAGTAAAAGGTATATATACATATAGTTTTAAATACTGAGCTAAGTATGTCTGCTATGGTTGCTGTAACTAATCATCACAAACTTTGGGGGTTAAAACAGGAATAGTCTTATGCAGTTGGTATGACAGTGTGAGAAGCTCCATGCATCTACTCCCAGCTACTAGTGAAAATTATT